ACGATGATGATGATGATGATGATGATGATGATGATGATGATGATGATGATGATGATGGTGTTGATGATGATGATGATGCTGATGATGACGATGACGATGACGATGATTATGCTGCTGATGATTCTGATAATGCTGATGATGCTGTTGTGGATGATGCTGATGCTGATGATGCTGATGATAATGATGATGATGATGATGATGATGATGATGATGATGATGATGATGATGATGATGATGATGATGATGATGATGATGATGATGATGATGCTGATGATGATGCTGATGATGATGCTGATGATGCTGCGACTGCTGCTGCTGATGATGATGATGATGATGATGATGAGGAGGAGGAGGAGGATTAAGAGGATGATGAGAAGGAGGACAAGGAAAAGTTATGCATATTGAGGAAGAAGAGGAGGCCTCCATCGGAGATTGGTTGAACTCCCACCCTGTAAAGTCGATCATCGAGTTGCCCACTCGGCTCTCGAGAGGGTGCGGCGGCCGCAGTGCTTGCGGGTTCGCCAGCTGGGCCTGACCCCGGGCCGTCATTGCCAGAGGGCGTTTTGCGGCAGAGGTCGACAGTCTTGGCTCAACATCGGCATGTTGCCTGCCTCCCAGCGGATGATGGCTTTCCTCTCCAGTGGATCCCGGCGCTGCTCCCCCCTTTGGCGGCTTCGGCTAGCCGCGCAGCTTTGAAGGGGCCCCAGGACACACAAATAAATACACACAAATAAAAATATTCCCCATATTTTCTCATATTTTCTTGGTTTCTGTCTTCCCCACCACTTCCCATATTTTCCCATATTTTCCTGGGAGTCGACGATTAATTGTGTCTGTGTGTTTTTTTCCCTCCTGAAGCTTGTGGCACACTGGTCTCCAGTGCCGGAGGCTGCCTGCGCGCTCCTCGTGGCGAAGGATTCTCTACACCTGAGGCCTCCTCCCGCGTTCCTCCTCTGCGGCCGCCTCGAGAAAGGAGGAGGAGGAGGAGGAGGAGGAGGAGGAGGAGGAGGAGGAGGAGGAGGAGGAGGAGGAGGAGGAGGAGGAGGAGGAGAGGAGGAGGAGGAGGAGGAATGAGGAGGAGGAGGAGGAGGCTGATGAGGAGGAGGAGGAGGATGATGAGGAGAGGAGGAGGGAGGAGGAGGAGGGAGGCTGGAGGAGAGGAGGAGGAGGAGGAGGGAGAGGAGGAGGAGGAGGAGGAGGAGGAGGAGGAGGAGGAGGAGGAGGAGGAGGAGGGAGGAGGAGGAGGAGGCGGAGGAGGAGGAGGAGGACTCCCTTGTGCGGCCGCCTTCCTTTTCCCTTTTGTTGCACCTGTGTGGCCCCAGTTCTGGCGCGGCCCGCCGGCTACCCGAACGCGTTGGCGCTCGCCCTCATCGGGCGGGGCTAGGCCGAGAATGTCCGTTCCAGAGCGTTCTGGAGCGCTCTCAGAGCGTCTCGTAATTGTCGTCGTCGTCGTCGACGTCGACGACGTCGTCGTCCCTCGTCGGCGTCGTCGTCGTCGTCGTCGTCGTCGTTGCCGCCGCCGTCGTCGTCGTCGTCGTCGTCGCCGCCGTCGTCGTCGTCGTCGTCGTCGTCGTTGCCGCCGCCGTCGTCGTTGTCGTCGTCGTCGCCGTCGTCGTCGTCGTCGTCGTCGTCGTCCGTCGGGGGTCCGGCTCCCTGCGGAGCGCCCTCCGCGCATTCGTGCCTGCCGCCAGCGGCTGGGAGCCCGGTCGCGGTCGCCTCCCTGCGCGCGAGGGGGGGCGCGCGCGACGCGCCGCGGTCGCCGGGGGCTCCTTGCGCGCCCCAGTCGAGGATCGAGGATCGACTGGCCACGCGCTGAAGGGGGTAGGGGGAGGGGGGAAGGCTTCTCAGAAGCACCCCTGCCTCTCAGAAGGCGTGGGCCTTCTTTGTAGATGTAAGGCCGGCGCCTTCTAAGAAGCAGCCTCCTGCTAAGACGCCCTCCCCCCTCGCCATACACCCTCCTGCGCGCCGCCAGATCGAGGTTCCAAGACCGAGGTTCGAGGATGGAGGATCGAGGATCGAGGATCGATGAGCCAAGACCGAGGTTCGAGGATCGAGGAGCGAGGAGCGAGGATCGAGGATCCAAGACCGAGGATCCAAGACCGAGGTTCGAGGATCGAGGATCGAGGATCGAGGATCCGAGGTCGACGTTCGAGATATCGAGGATCGAGGCTTCGCGGGCGCCTCTTGCGCGCGAGGGGGTTTCCGAGGAGGCTTCTCCAGAAGCCGGGAGGGCTTCCAGGAAGGCCCCCGCCTTTTCAGAAGCTCCCCCCTGCCTGCTCAGGGGGCCGGCCCCCCTCGCGCGGCTCCCCTGCGAGGCTCCGCCAGCTGCTCCTCGCCCCTCGCCCCTCTTCCCTCGATCCTCGATCCTCGCTCCTCGCTCCTCGATCCTCCATTCTCGATCCTCGATCGTCGTTCCTCGCTCCTCGATCCTCCCTTCTCGCTCCTCGATCCTCGATCCCCCCTCCTCGACCATCGCTCCTCGCTCCTCGATGCCTCTCAGGAGCTCCGGTCCGTCGGCACGGCCGCGCCGGCGACGGACCTCGACCACCTCCGCCCGCCGCTCGCCAAGGAGGCCTCCCCGAGCTCCCCCCGGCTGCGGAAGAGCAGGTCGCAGGCGCTTCGCGGCGGTCTCCTGGGGGGCCGCTCCTGGGCTCGGAGGAGGAGGAGGTACCCAGACCGCTACCCCTGCCTCGATTTCGCTTCTGTGTGCCTCCTGGGAGGCCCTCGTCGCCACCGCTGGATTCGCCTCGAGAGTCTGGGCAGAACGCACCCTGAGGGAGGCCCAGGGAGTAGCGGTATCGGTACCTTTTGGTTTCCCCACTGGCGAGCTGGTAAAGACGGGGGCCAACGCCAGCGGGGGTCAGTTAGAGAGGCGGATCTTGCAGGATCTCGCAAGGCCAGGATTGCATTGACCCGGGATCAACGCGCAGGATCCTGCAGGATCTTGCAGGATTTTGAAAAACCGGACTGACCCAGGTGTGCTTTGACATGGGTCAGCAAGCATTCACTTTCGGAGCTCCGCGCGGATTGCTTGGATCGGCCCCAGCACTGGCGATGCCTCGAGCGCCGCCTTTGGCACGCACCGTGCGCCAGGGAGGGGGGTTCCAAGGCCGATCGAAGAAATCCGCGCGGACCTTCGATTTTTTTTTCCTCTTCATCTATTCTTGGCTGTTTTTTTGGGCCGGCCGCGTTGAGGAGGATCGATGGGGAGGGGGATGATGATCGAGGGGGAGGGGCAGGAGGGGGAAGGAAGGGGGGAGGATCGAGGAGAACCTTGCGATCTGGGGGCTGCACTTTTTTCACACCGGGCGTTTTCGCCCAGTTCCGGGCCCCAGGACCATATATCGATCCGGCTCGACACGTGCAGCGGAAAGGTGGGGTTTAGGGCTCCGCTTGTGATTTTTCGCGATGCTGGATTTTTTTCGCAACGTCGGATCTCAAGGGATCGAGGAGGAGGAGGAGGAGGAGAAGAGGGAGGGAGAGGTGGATTCCATTATTTTCGTCCGTGATTGTGGCACAAGTTAATAATTTCTGGCCATGAGCTTCGAGGATGTCCCAAGCGATGGGCCCATAGTGAAAAGGATCCGCCTTCCACTCCGACAGCTGCTGCATTTGTTGAAGTTACTTAAGTTCAAGGAAACCTCATGCGATAGTCTCACTTTGAAAATGAGCCGTCTCACATCCTCATAATTTTTGCACGCTTTCAAGACGAATGTGTGCGGCGCTGAGGCGAGAGCCCCATTCATGAATGGAGCCACCCTCCATCGTTGTAGCAATTGCGAACTTTGCAGAAGAATGCGCGCGGAGTTCAAACGAGAATACCGTGCTGAATTACGACTTGCGCTCCATCCTCGTAGCGGTTGCAAGCTTTTATGACGAAGGTGCACGGCGCCGAGACGATGTCGCAATTTCGATAACGACATGTGCTCCATCTTTGCAGCTGCACGTTTTGAAGACGAATGGCGAGAGTTGCGCCTAGGAAACAGCTTGTGCTCAGTCCGTGTGCCCGTGGCGGACTTTCAGGCTCAGGGTCAACTGCTGGTGGGGAAGTCTCCAGCGAGACGCCCTGCCCGCCCCGGCGACGTTTCTGGGGGCGCGGCAGGGAGGACGTACTCACAAGGAAAAGGGACTGGGAGGAGGAGGGGGGACGGAGGAGGGGGGGTGAGGGAGGAGGAGGGGCTGGAGGAGAAGGAACGAGGAGGAGGAGGAGGAGGAGGCGGAGGAGGAGGAGGTGAGAGGAGGAGGAGGAGGAGGCGGGAGGAGGAGGAGGAGAGGAGGAGGGAGGAGGGAGGAGGAGGGGAGGAGGAGGGAGGAGGAGGAGGAGGCGGGGCTGGTGGACCTGATTGCTCAGCCCCCCTGGGGGGCTGCCACCGCCGAGTTCGTGCCCCACACTCCACAGCGCTGCAGTGGTGCGATCACGGGGCCCACGGCCCTGTGGGGGGGGTAGGGCTGCGTCGCATTCGGGACTGCAGCCAGCAGCGTCAGCTTCAGGAGGGGCAGAGGGAATGGGAGGGGGATGGGGGAGGTGGAGGAGGGCCCGTTCTGTTTGATCCTGGGCCCCATGCTGGGCCGCCGCCGTGCCGCGGCGCAGGTGTCGTTCCTCTCCGTGAGCGACAGCAACGGCGTCAGTCATCCCGTCAGCGACGGAGTCGCCCTTCATCGCGGAGGCAGCTGCACCGGCGGAATGAACGATAATTGTGCGTAGTCTGGTTGAGCGGCTAGTGCATGCATGATGTGAACGCACTGTGAGGTGTCCAGCTAGTCTAGATCGACATCAGGCCGTAGCATGAGACGAAACGAGACGACATAAAGGAGGGAGGGGGGCGGGAGGGGAGGGGTGGAGGGAGGGAGGCAGACCGTGGCGCCCCCTGCAATGCACATGCCGAGCAGGGGGTCCAGTTGGTCCAGGCCCAGAAGGGGGCAGGCGCCGGCCCTCGACCGAGGGTGGCCTGCACTGAGCCCCACATAATGTGAGGACCGTGCTGGCGCGAGCCCAGCCTGCCTCCACACCAACGGAGCTTCCGCGAGAGGCCCACACGTGGTGCCGACAGACTGGGAAGGGCCCACCCGGGATCACCCGCTGTGCGCCTGGGACGCGCAGGCGGCGGCCCCGCGGCACAGGCGGCAGTGGGGCCGAAGCGGGCTGGGGGCAAGCCCCAGGCCGCGCGCAGCACGATGAGGATCTCCTGGAGCTCCTGCAGCCCCAGGTGAGAGAAGAAGGCCTCGTGGTCGGGGCGGGTCGACAACGCGAGGGCTTGCGCGAGCATCGACACGCGCTCACCCACCACCGAGACGGCCGCCAGCGCAGCCTCCGCGGGCGGGCGGGCGATGCCTTCGCCATCTGCTCCAGCCGCCGCAGGGGCAGGTGCAGGTGCAGCTCTCCCTGGGCCCTCGCGCCGCTGCCTCCTCACCAGAGGAGGGGCCGCGTCAGCCCAGTGGGCGCCGGCGAGGGCCGCGGCGTCGTCGGGGCCCGATGCCGCGAGGCCGTCGAGCGCCACAGGCGCGACAGCCTCCTCCTCCTCCTCCTCCTCCTCCTCCTCCTCAGCAGCATCAGCCGCCTCTCCTTTCTCCAGTGCTCTCCTCCCCGCCTTGCGCATGCGGCGTCGGCGGCGCCGCTCGCGCTGCGCCTCCGTGGAGCTTCGAGCGTGCGCGGCAGCAGCAGGGGCGTCGGCAGACGAGGAGCATCCGCTCGTCGATCGGCTCCGTGGGGCGCAGCGACCGCAGCAGGCGGCAAAGGGGCGGGCGCACAGCGCCGAGGAGCGCGGCGCCGGCTGCCGAGCGCACCACGGCCGCGACCCTGCGCCGAGGTGCCTTGGCTGCCACAGCGCCGCGCACCGCCGCTTCCACGATGGCACCAGCGTCCAGGGAGCCCCTCCAGGCTCGCGCTCGCCGCGGGGAGGGGAAGCGCCGAGCCGTGCAGCCGCTTGGGCCCAAATGGGGTGGGTCGAGGGAGGGAGAGGGGCAGGGGAGGGGAGGGAAGGATGGAGGTGCGAGGGCGAATAAGAGGGGCGAAGAAGGGGATGAGGGCTGAAGAGGGGGAACAGGGGGGATAGAGGGAGGGGAGGAGAGGGAAGGGCAGGAGACAATATGGCGAAATGGGGGAGAAGGGGGGAGCGGGGAGGAGTCCTTCACCCACTCCCCATCCGCCTCCCCCGTCAACTCCCGCCCCTCCTTTTCCGCCCCTCCTCTTCTGCAGCATCCTCTTCGCACTCCCCCTCCTTCTCCTCCTCCTCCTCCTCCTCTTCGTTATCCTCTGCCTTTTCCTCCTCTTCGTTATCCTCTGCCTTTTCCTTCTTCTCCTCCTCCCTCTCCTCCTTCTCCTCCTCCAGCTTCGCCTTTGCACGCCATCAGTCTGGTCCAGGGTCGAACCTTGAAAACTGCCCCAAACCCAGAAGCCAAAAGGGCGAAGCCCCGAAAGCCAGCAGAGGCCAAAGCGGAAAACAGGGTCCAAAGACGAGGACGAAACACGAAAGGGGTTCGAGTCTGCTGCGGTAGTTTCGGACACATCTGAATTGGGCTAGGCGTTGCTGCAGTAGTTTTCTAAATGATGCGTGAATGCCACGGGCATCATCCCTTCGTCACACCACCGCCTATCTCGGATCTGATCGGGTCCAGGCTGGGGGGCTAGCATCCTTTGCGGGGAGGCGGACGTATTCAAGCACGGGCCCATGCTTTCAGATGTCCACCAAATGGCTGGAACAAGGTGGAAAGCACACCCACCGAGAGCCCACGAGTTCATACAAGGTCTAATGCGCACCCACCGACAGTCCAAGACCTTCGTGTGTTCCGTTCGTTCTGTTTACCTCGAGGGCCCAGGGCTGCTCCATCACTGCGGCGCAAAACGATACCGAACATTGTGGCACACTTAGAGTGTGCACCTCGCTTCTGCGCCTGCCCTCACGTCTAGGGGAACACATCGGTCGGAGGCTGGGGGGTGACATCGCAGTGGAATGGAGAGCCCCCCCACCAGGAAAACTAGGTTCCGGTTTCGTGTTCGTGTCTTGCGTGCGGGCGAGGCGAAGCTGCGTGGGCGCGCGAGGAGAATGATCCCGCCGTCGGATGCAAGAATCCGGCCCTCTGGTGGGCGCGCCGTGGCGGGGGGTGTCCCGCCGTGGTGTCTCGCGGTGTCCCGATGGTGTCCCACGGTGTTTCGCCGTGGGCGCGCGAGAGGAATGATCCCGCCATCGCTAGGGCGACTCCGATGCAAAAGTTTGGCCCTTTGGTGGGCGCGCGGTGGCTGGGGGTGTTCCGCCGTGGTGTCCTGCGTTGTCCCGATGGTGTCCCGCAGTATCCCGCCGTGGTGTCCCGATGGTGTCTCGTGGTGTCCCGTGGTGTCCCGTGGTGTCCCAGTGGTGTCCCAGTGGTGTCCCGCGGTGTCCCGTGGTGTCCAGTGGTGTCCCGCGGTGTCCCGCTGTGGTGTCCCGATGATGTCCCGATCGGTAGTGGGATCGATAATGATTTCGATAACGACCGAGATGTGGTGAGATCGGTAGTGAAATTGATAGTTGGATCGATAGCGAGGTCGATAGTGAGATCGGTAGTTCCATCGATCGAGCGAGCGGCAGTGAAATCGGCAAGGATATCGGTAGTTGCATCGATAGTGCAATCGATAGTGAGATCGATAGGGCGATGGATTGCGAGATCGACAGTGAGATCGATAGTGGTTTCGATTGTCAGCTCGATTGTGAGATCGTTTGAGATCGCTTCCCAGATCGAATCAGACACCGATAATGAGATCGGTCGAGCGATATCGATAGTAAGATCGATCGTAAGATCCGAGATGTATTGTGACATCACATCGCGGCGCAACATCGTCATCACGTGTCGTCGCCAACTCGAGGGCGCGCCACCAGCATCGTCATCATGACGCCCATCGCAGTCGCCAGCAGTTAATTCTTTCCCCTTTCCCCCACATCCTTATCACCCCAAGGGTGGTCGTATAGGTACACATTATATGCTTGCCTCGTTTCTTCGCATGCCCTCGCTTATGTTCTCGCTCAAACCCGAGAGGATCCTCACGTCTGCGGCGAGGGGGGGGAAGGAGAAGGAGGAGGCGGATGAGGAGGTAGAGGAGGAACATGAGGAGGAAAATGAGGAGGAGGAGGAGGAGGAGGAGGAGGAGGAGGAAGAGGGGATAAGAGGTGGAGGGCTCGTCGTCGTCAGGAGTAGACTGGTAGCACATATGTGTTGTTCTTCCACCTCGTAGGAGTTGTCATGGTTGCAGTCCCTGGGGTGTAGACTTCAGCATTGCTTAATTCTACGTCGTCGTCGTCGTCGTCGTCCTTGTCCTCGTTGAAGTCCTTCTCATCGTCCTCGTCGTCGCCGCCGCCGCCGACGTCGGCGTCGTCGTCCTCCTCGGTGTCCTCCTCGACGTTATCCTCGGCGTCGCCGTCCTCGTCGTGGTCGTCATCCTGGTCGTCGCCATCGCCGTCGTCGTCGTCGTCGTCGTCGTCGTCGTCGTCGTCGTCGTCGTCGCAGTCGTCGCCGTCGTCGCTGTCGTCGTCGTCGAGCGGGCGCGCGAGTGAGCGGGCGGACCGGCGGGCGAACGGGCGGGCGGGCGCGCGGGCGGGCGTGTCGAGGAGGCGTCCGCGCAGAGGGGCCGGCGGGCGGGCGGAGCTGGGGACGGGTGGCCTCGCAGTCGCGCCGGCGGCCGTTGGACGGGCAGGCGCGGGGGCGCGCTCCCTGTAGGAGTTCAAGCTCGAGCCCTAGTAACTCAACTGGTCCGTGGCCCCCCCCCTTCTGACTCCTATGCCCCCCCCTTAATTCCTCTGGCTATGCCCATGCCTGTGCCTGTGCCTCCCCTGACGCAGCTGCTGGGCCGCACGGTCCAGTACGGGACAGTACAGTGGATTGGAGTGTGCGCGCGTGGAAGACAGGATCGTCGTAAACGTCATCATCACCACCATCACCCATGATCTAGTTGGAGTCAACGCTGGCTGATATTTTTGCCCAGTGCATGTTGGGCCGTGTGCGTTGCGAACTACGGAGTCGTGACCCAGACCCCCGCCGACGTCGTTGTGACTCCCCCCCCCGGGGCCCTCCCACCGCGATTGTCACAGACGCCCTGGGGCCATGCCGCACGCGGCAGCCATTAACGGCACGCCAGTGGCCTTACCCGCGTGGCGGCGATGCCCAATCACTGGCGGCTGACAGGTTTATGCCCCGACGGTGGCGCGTCATGCTATAATCTTTCCAGCCGCCCTGGGACAGGCGCTCCCGTTGACTGAGCGATTTATGTTATACCGTTTTCGCCCGCAAAGACGCGGAAGGGAGGAACAGTCAGCTTCGACCTCTGCCAGTCGGTCTCCACGCTGCGCAACGCCAGCAGTACCGCGGAGTTGAAGGCTCGCCAGCAGTTCGCGGAAAAGTTCAAGCAAGACGCGGAGGAGTCAGGACTGAGCACCTCCCCCGGCCGTGTCGGACGACATGGGGGGTTACAGCCTGTCAACCCTGCGGTCCTGGTGTCGCATTTTCTTTTCGCAGTGGGCGATTTTGCGTTGTTTCGGGTCTCGCGCCATCACACATCGATCTGGCGCGAGAAGTGCAGCAGAAGCGTGGGGTCCAGGGCTTCGGTCGTGACTCTTTCGGCGAGCGGCGAGTCTGCAGTTTTTTGCGCAACGTCGGATCTCAGGGAAAAGGGGGGGGATTACAGTCTGTCAAGGGGGTCGCTTCCCGTATTGCAAGGGAACGCGTGTAGGGATTCATGACAAGGGGGCAGACGGAAAGGCCTGGGTTACAAACGCCCCCCATAGAGGAACAGTCAGGACGCCGAGATAAGGACCACCTTTCAGGGGGGTAACGATAGGGGGGGGGGATAGGCATAGGAAGGCCCAATCGCCCATTGATCGGCGATAAAGGGCCCGGTGGCCCCACCCTGAGCAGGAACGTGGGGCTTTGGTATCGGGGGTCTATGGCCGATCCATCGGCGATGTATGGCCGATTCCAGGTCGATGGTTCCCCCCCTCTGCCGGTACCCCCCTGTCGTTGCCTCTCAACCTTGGGCTCAAAAGGGGGCTCTGGTTTTCAGGCCGTCCCTTGGATCTGGGTGAGGGGGCCCCATGCATGGCCGAGGCTCGCCTGGGCCAGAAGCGCCCCGTCGCTTCTTCGTGAGGGTGACCCTCATGGTAGCGCGAAGGCTGTACTTGGGAACGAGGGAGGCCCACGAAGTCTGCCGTACGCAGCTGGCTTCGGCCCCGCCGCCAGGCGCTTCACATTGGCGCGGCGCGCGCCGGGCAGGTGCGTGAGCTGATTTGCTGACCCTTCCTTCACCGAGGCTTGCCCTCTCTCTTCCTCGCCTTCCTCGCCCTCACCAGGGCCAATGTCGGTCCGATCAGTCCGATGCGGCCCGATGCTTGCATGGTGCCGTCGTGCACCCTGCCGCGGCCGATCCGATTCGATTGAGATTCCGTGCCGATGCACCCTTATTCGGCGCACGTGCCGAGCGGATCCGATTTCCTGGTTCGATGCTGACTGATCCTGCCCTCACCCGTTCCTGCCTCCCCTCTCCCTCTCCATCCCTCTCGCTCTTGCTCCCCCCCTGCCCTCTCCCTCCGTCTCGCTCTCCTTCCCCCTGCCCTCTCGTTCTCTCCCGCCCCCTGGAGAACGGAGGAGTGCGCGAGCGTTTTCGGAGAGTTTGTGAGGCTCCATTGAGATGTCGGATCTCTCCTGAGACATTCGGCGGCTTCTCGAGAGGAGGAGGAGGCGGAGGAGGAGGCGGAAGAGGAACAGACACACTCGGGAGGAGCAAGGACCACTCGGGAGGAAAAGGAGGAGGAGGAGGAGGAGGAGGAGGAGGAGGAGGAGGAGGAGGAGGAGGAGGAGGAGGACAAGGAAGTAGTAGAAGAGGACGAGGAGGAGGAGGAGGAGGAGGAAGACGATGACGAGGAGGATGATATGCTTCGACTTCGCGGCTGATCATCGGTCGTAGACGAGGTGGTGGAGGAGGGGGACACACCCATTGCTAGCAGGCCACTCTAACTCTGGAGTGGTGCTGCCAGGAGGCGAACTCCTAGGCGAACACGGAGCCGCCGTTGAGGTCGAACGTAGCAGAGACGACTGCCAGCCCAAGCCGGCACGCTGCCACCTGCATGGTTCCGCGCCGCTCCGCGGTCCTCCCCGCGTCACATGTGCTCCATCCTGATTTGGACGTCACCCGGGGCTGCGTGCGCCAGAAAGATAGGGGAACGAACAATGACATAAACATAATGACTCGGAGGTCCGCGCGGATTTCTCGGATCGGCGCTGGAGCCCCCTGGCGGCGCCTCCGGCGCCGCCCCTGGCGCGCTCCGCGCGCCAGGGAGGGGGGTCCAGCGCGGATCCGAGAAATCCGCGCGGACCTCCGAGTTTTTATGTTTATGTTTTTTTTGTTGTTTCCCAAAAAGAGGACGGAAGGTGTAGATCCCTGGCGATCGTTGCACGCTCCGTGGTCGAAGCGCGGGCAGTCCTGGCACATGCGGCGGGTGCTGGCCAGCGGCTGGGGGCACCATGGGCACGGAGCTGCCTCGCCCCCCCCCGCGTCGGCGTCTTGGTGGCCCCAGACCGATGTCGAGGTACTTCTTTGTCACTTGACCCAGACTTCAGTGCTGGATGCGTCCACGTCGACGCGGGCCACTCCAGCGGCGTCAAGCCACGTACTGTGTACGCTTCAAGACAACGTGGATGGGGAGGAGGACCAGAAGGATGTGGATGAGGTGGAGGGATGATGCTGCTGGTGATGACGATGACGAAGACGACGACTGCGACGGTGACGACTACGACTACGACGATGGGGATGATGGTGCTGATGATGTGTGTGTGATTATGCTGTCGACCATTGATGATGATGCTGCTGCTGATGGTGCCGCTGCGGCTGATGGTGACGAAGACGATGATGATGATGCTGATCTGCGAAGATGGTCATGATGGTGACAGTGATGATGTTGCCGATGACGACGACGAGGATGATGATGATGTTGATGACGATGGCGATGACGATGACGACGAGGATGAGGTTGACGACGACGATGACGATGACGATGACGACGGGGAGGAGGACGAGGATGATGATGCTGATGATGATTATGATGTTGATGCTGACGATAATAATCCCCGTGATGACCTTGATGATGATGCTGATGATGATAATGTTGATGCTGCTGCTGCTGATGATTATGATGGCGATGTCGAGGACGATGACGAAGAGGAGGAGGATGAGAGGGATGATCATCATGACGATGATGAGGATGGTGACGATGACGACGACGACGATCATGATGATGATGATGCTGCTGATGATGATGATGCTGACGGTGCCGCTGCGGCTGATGGTGACGATGACGATGTTGATGATGGTCTGCGATGATGATGACGACCACAAGGAGGATGATCATTTCATCAGGATGGTGACAGTGATGATGTTGCCGATGACGACGACGTGGAGGATGATGATGCTGATGACGATGGCGATGACAATGGCGACGGGAATGATGACGACGACGATGACGATGGCGACGACGACGAGGAGGAGGATGAGGATGATGATGGTGGTGATGATGATTCTCATGGCGATGCTGATGCTGATGATGCTGTTGATGGTGATGCTGATGATGATAATGGTGATGCTGATGTTGATGATGATGCAGATGATGATTTTGATAGCGATGCCGATGACGATGACGATTACGATGACGATGACAAAAAGGAGGGGGATGAGGAGGTGGATGATCATCATGACGATGATGAGCATGGCGACGATGACGATGACGATGATGATGCTGCTGCTGCTGTGATGTTGCTGCTGCTAATGATGATGATGATGATGATGATGATGATGATGATGATGATGATGATGATGATGATGATGATACCGACGAGGATTGTCGTGATGATCGTGAGGATGACGAGGATAATGACGGCTATGATGATTATGCTGGTGATGATCACGACGATGACGGCGATTCTGACATGATTGGTGATGAACATGCTGCTGCTTCTGATGATGATGACGATCATGATGATGGTGATGCTTATGATTATGAGATTATAGAACCCTTGCAGGCGATAGTGGAGTTCACTGTGACGATGAAGGCTGGGTGGATGGTGAAGACGATGCTGACCTGATGCTGATGGTGATGACGACAATGCTGATGCTGCTGCTGATGATGCTGATGGTGATGACAACGAGGACCACGATGGGAACAGTGACCACGAGGATGATATGAGGGTGATGGTGATGAACATGATAATGAAGCTGCTGCTGATGATGACGATGATGGTATTGATGATGATGATGCTGCTGATGATGATGATGATGATGGTAATGATGGTATTGCTGATGATGATGCTTATGATAATGATGATGATGATGGTGGTGATGATGATGCTGATTATGGAGATGTTGATGGTGATGGTGATGGTGATGATGACGACGATGATGATAATGATGATGCTGATGCTGATGCTGATGCTGATGATGATTATTGTTGCGACGATGGTAAGGATGAGGATGAGGATTCGGATTCGGATGAGGGTTATGATACTGAGAATGAGCATGTTGCTGATGCTGATGACGGTGATGATGATGCTGATACTGATGATGATGAAAATGTTGATGATGATGATGTTGTTAATGATGATGATGATGATGATGATGATGATGATGATGATGATGATGATGATGATGATGACGATGACGATGACGATGACGATGACGATGACGATGATGATGGCGATGCTGGTGACGCTGCTCCTGTCTCTATGTGCAACCACGTGTCTCTCATGTGCCTCATGCTACCAGATGCTCCACGGGGGCGACTTCGTTGCTTTTGTCTGGAGTGGCCATTTGCCTCGTATCAAACTGATCCGTACATTGACTGCTCGAACGTTGTTGTACAGGGCTCCTTGCCGCGTGTCGAGGCACCCTCTTACAACTAACATGCTGCTGCAGGTGACATGCAAGCTCGGCACTGTTTTGACCCACGCCTCCTCATGTAAGAAGGTGAAGGCCCACCATGATCTCGACGAGGCCGGCATTTCGGCTTCAGAGAAGTGTGACAGGCTCGGACTTATGTTCCGGGGATGGTGCTGCTCAGCGTGCGATCGATCGACACCCTATCGCCAATCCCACCGAGTTTAAGGAGCTAGATAGTAAAATCAAGCTTGCCAGGCATGTATTCAAGCTCGGAGCTGCCGTTCTACTGGGATGGCCGCTCATTGAATTCAGAGGCACTGCTTGTGCCCCTCCGCCTCCCCCGGAGCCGAAGCTGGTTTCGGCCCACTCGTGGAGGGGAGCGCCCGAGTGGCTTCTGGCGGCGTGAGGTTTGTCTGGGAGGCTCGACGTTGGGAGAGGAGGAGGAGGAGGAGGAGGAGGAGGAGGAGGAGGAGGAGGAGGAGGAGGAGGGAGGAGGAGGAGGAGGAG